TTTTTTATGAAAGGAAAGCTAATATTTTGTTTAGTCTATTTTATGATATATTATACAATTGAGAATAATTTTCTCTTTCTCAAATCCCTTGTTATAATTGGTTAAGTCTATGCTTTAGTAATTAGTTGTTTTCACTCAATTCTATTCTTTTTGGTTAATTTTCTTAGTGCTTCTTGGTAACCAAACAATATATTTTGTTGAATTTATACATTGTCCAATTTATTTTAAACAATATGATCAAACATGCTAGATTTCTTTAGGAGCCTTGGTAGCTGGGATTGAATGAATAAGAGAGAGGGAGGTAGGTTGTAAAGGAGTTCACTGCAAACAGACAGAAGAAAAGAATTAATTAAGAATTTTTTTAATGAAATTTTATTATTTTATTTTATTTTTTATTTTTAACTGAGTGTATTAGTTAGGAAAAGGGGAACCTTAGTGGGTAAATTTTTGTCCATGAATATATATTGGACTTTATGGTAATTTTGGAAAAACCAAAAAACATATTTGGTATAAGCACAGTCACTCATAAATTTAATTTTGTTAGTCTTTTTCATTTATTTTAAAATTTAAATTATTAAAATTTATAAAATAAAAATAAAAATTCCTAATTATTAAAACATCTTGAACGAACATGGTGGTAGGGAATATAAGTATAGGAGTCATTATTTAGTGGCTTTGAGGCCTAAATTGTCACTTTAAAAGTGTTGTTTGTCTAGACCTAGCAAACTAGTGGGATTGGGTGGGTTCGGATTGGGTTGTCTCAAATTTCAGATTTTTCGGATTTGGTCATTTTGAGTGTCGGGTTAAAGGGGTAGGCCCATGATTCACCTACATAAGTTTTGGATTGTATCAAGTGGACCCAACTTCTAAAATATTGAAATTTTTTTATATTTTCTCTATTTTTTAACGAAATTTAATACTAATTAACTATTTAGCTAGAAAACTTTATTAAACGCTAATTTTTATTTTATGATTCACTTTTTATTCCAATCTCAAAAAAAAAGAAAAGGGAAAGATTATTGATTATATTGGTGGTATTAAAATAAATGTCAAGTGTATAATGCATGTACAATATTTATAATTCATAATTTTATAAAGAGACATGAAGAATTATAGTTCAAAAGGCAAATTCAATATATATATTAATATCTAGTATCTATTCATTATTTATAAGGGTATTATACAAAAAATACAGTTTTATTCAATATTTAGAAGGGTATTATACAAAAAATATAGCCGATGGTAATTCTTCTACTGTATCATTTGCCAAAAGCACAAAGAATACTGTCGGTGCAAAATTTATAGAGTTAAAATACTTCAAAATCAGATTATGGGTTGATAATGGTGATATTAAGTATGAGCATATTGGTACGAAAGATATGCTTGTTGACCCACTAACTAAAGGACTTAGACCCATTGACTTTGAAGGACACGTGAGAAACATGGGGTTATCATTTTCTTTAGATATCCTGGGTTAGTGGGAGTTAGTTAATGTTTTTGAAGACATTATGATTGTTCAGTATTTACAGTAATAAAGTTCATATAACCAAATTTCATTTTATTATATGCTCTTCTTTTTATGCACATGTTTGCTGTGAATTCACGTTGGTATATATATATATATATATGCATATATGTGTTTTCGATATAAACGTTAAAAGGCTTCTACTGAAGTGATTAATTTAAAAGGGTTGGGAGTTTACTCCTAAGTTTCTTTGAAACTGAAATAAAAGTCTTCCCACGAGGAAGTGTGAAAGGATTTTGTTGAAATCATAAAAGGACTGTTGTGGTTTTGACATGTTATGTATATATATTATAAGGATCATGTTATGTCAAACCACACTACACTTTGTCACACCTATTTGAATTCATGTTGGTTGATATTTTGTGATTGCAAGGGATTTGGCATTGAAAAGGGATGCAATGATTACCGCAGTTCAATATTGATATTGCCATTGAACAGAATTTTGTTATGAGATTTTAATTTATATTTGTGGCCACTAAAGTTGGGTTTGACCCAAGAGTCATTTTAAAATATGTTTTTGAAATTTAAAACCAATTAGCATTGCCCAAGTAGGAGAATGTTAGAAATTTTATGTGAGCTTCTACCAATTATATTTAGTTTTTCTTAAAATGGGTCAAATAAAAAGCCAATAAAACCCAGTAAAGTTATGTGATCCAATGGACATAGGTTTTATCTCAGGTTTATATGGTGTGATATGAATAGGTGTAGAGTTTAGAATTAAAAGGTGAGCTACTCGATGGAGGTGCCCAAAATATTATTATAAAAGGGCTAAGTCTCCTATCTCATTTAGAAAACCCTATCTTTATAAATAATGGAGTTAGGAAGTGACATGACCCATTGATTGCTATTATACAGAAGTTGAATGGGGAGGGGAAGATTTAGCCTTTAACTATTTGGTTTCTTTCTGTTCGTTTCTTTTGTAGGCTTATAGATCAATGGCTTCCAATAATGGTACGTGATTTTGTTATTTAATTATTTAAGTATGGCATTTAGAATCTAATTTGTGTTAAATTTATATTGATAAATTCTTACATAATCCACCTCTTCCATACCCCTTTAGATACTAGATAGTCCCTAAATAGGTGTTGAATATCCTTCCGATTATTATAGCAATGAGAACAAGTATCACTTTGTGCAATCCCTCTTGCAAATCTGGCACTATTTGTCAAAACCCTATTATGTAACATGAGCCATAATAAGGATTTAGCCTTTGGAGGTGATGTTAAGCTCCAAACCTTGCTCCAACAACCTACCAACGGAGAAAAGCTAGAATTGGTAAATAATTCACAAGCACTTTTGGTAGAAAACTCACTATTGGTGGAACTTTTCCAATAAATAGAGTTCTTTTCTAAATTCTAATCATTAAGCACATAGAGCTCTAGTAGTTGTATAATATTATAAGGTAACATCATCTTTTTAGATACATTTGTTTACTGCAATTTGTATTTAAGTTTTGTTAGTTGACTTGATTTAGCTTTTTGTATTGTTAATGGAATTTTTTTGTTTCTCTTTTAGTATGCAAATCTTTTTTTTTTTT